AGTGGTCCTTGTGGTCACTATGTCCCCTAGACGCACCATGGACCCCACCCTGGGTCTTTGGTAAATGACTAGCTGAGCGGCTTTGTAGGCAAGCCCCGGCCAGCCTGGCTTTCCTCTGTCTGCCTGCCCGGCCCGGCAGCAGTGAAGGGTACCAATTGTCAGCACATGGGCATTTGCAGTCACTCTCGGCTAAGGGGGATTCTGGCTTTGCTGCCTGGTTTCTCTGTCCTTCCTAGCCCCGCTGCAGCAATCGTCCAGGATTTTGTGGTTGTTTCCATTACTGTTGCTGTGTAACAAACCACTCAAAATGCAGTGGCACCGACCCATCGCCATTTTTTTACGCGCCCAGGTTCTGAAGGTCAGTGAACATCTTTAATCTCTTCCACCGTGTCTGGGGCCTCCACAGTAAGAAGGAGAAGGCTACGAGCTGAAATCCTGTGGGCCTTCTTCACTCACATGCGTGGACACTTGGGCGGGAATGACCCAAAAGCTCAGTTCAGTTAGGACTGTTGCCTGGACTGCCTGCTTTCCTGGAAGTTGTGATCACCTTTTTTTCTTTTTTTTTTTTGAGACAGGGTTTTGCTCTGTTGCCCAGGCTGGAGTGCAATGGCATGATCTTGGCTCACTGTAACTTCCGCCTCCCAGGTTCAAGCGATTCTCCTGCCTCAGCCTCCCGAGTAGCTGGGATTACAGGCACCCGCCACCTCGTCCAGCTAATTTTTGTATTTTCAGTAGAGACGGGGTTTCAACATACTGGCCAGGCTGGTCTCAAACTCCCGACATCAGGTGATTTGTCCGTCTCAGCCTCCCAAAGTGATGGGATTTCAGGCATGAGCCATCGGGCCCAGCCTGGATTCGCTCTTGAAGCCATCGAATTGCAGCTCAGGGCTTCGATGAAGAGTGACTCTCCAGAAAACACGGGCAGAGTGACACAGCATTTTATGACAGTCTCTGAAATCACAGAAGGTCAGTGTTGCCATGCTATATAGGTTGAAGCAGCCACACCCCCGTCCAAGGTCAAGAGAAAGAACAGAGCCCACTTTTGGCTGGGAAAGTGGGCCAAATGGGCCAGGTGTGGTGGCTCACGCCTGTAATCCAAGCATTTTGGAGGTCAAGGCGGGCAGATCACCTGAGGTTGGGAGTTCAAGACCAGCCCGACCAACATGGTGAAACCCCGTCTTTAAAAAAAAAAAAGAAAGAAAGTGGGCCAAATAATTGGCAGCCAATAATTTAAAATAATCACAGTGACACGAAGCTGAGAGGAAAGGAGACTAAGCTTTGGAACAGAGTTTTCCAAGGTGGAAAAATCCAAAGTTGAAGAGAAAGGTAGAAAAGCAGCTGCAGGGAAGCCGTGAGGGAGGCAGCTGAAAGCAGCCGTCTAAGCAGCGCTGCCAAGTCACACTGCAGTGCCAACCACATCCGGGCCACAGAATCGGTTTCACTCTCACGCTGAGTTGCGGGGGCTGGAAGCTTTGCGGGGGTTATAGGTCCACCTGGGCCACACCCAAGCCTGCCCTGGAGTTTCTTCAGTAGCGGAAACATTTACGGAAGTTCAGGCCACTTGTCATTTCCATCATCTCATGATTGAAAGTCAGTTCACGGAGGCTGTCACGCATACACGCGGGCCTCGTATCTCATTCCTCCTATTGCTCACGCTCCCCTTTCCCCTCCTCAGTCCCAGGAGCCGGACCTCCCCAGCCTGATGTCATCCTTTGGGTGGGAGGGAGGAAGGCAGGTGAGAGGGGCTGTCTCTGGAGGCTCCTGGTTTCTGAGACAGGCTAATTGCAGGCTTCCTAATTAATGAGCCATGGGGTTGCATTTCATCCGCTGAGTCAGAGCCAGTGTCTGGGCCCTGGGCCCAAGGGAAGGGTATCAAGAATCGTGGGAGCGGGAGGCCAGCCTGTGCCTCTGTCTCCTCATGCTGATTCCCTGTCCCCTCCCTTTTCAAGCCCAGTTCTCTCCAGCAGTTTAGAGGACATGGTAGGCCCCAGCCCTGCCTTGCTCCTGACTTGCGCCTCTGCTTCCTGACCTCTTCCTGGGCCTGTCCCCGCTGTCTGCCCCTGACACCTTCCCACTTCGCCAGGACCACACAGGCCTCCTTTGGTTACCAACTCTCAAAAGGTTTCCCAACACCCAGTTTCGTTTCTTTGTCAAACTGGATCTTCTTTGGTCACACGTATCCCACACTGGGGTCTCTGGAGCGAGGCAGAAGCACCTCGGCAGGATCCCAGCACCCAGTGCCCTGGGTCCCAGATAGAGCCATTCCCGAGGCCGTCTGTGCTGCTCCTCCCCACACCCTCCTCTCCCAGGAACTGCACGCGAGTACTTTTCCATTCACATTTCAACCAGGAGATTCATGTATTTAAATGAGGCTAACTCTGCTGAGCCTTTATGGGGAGAGCATCTTTTATTTTTGTGCCTAGAGGTGTAATACTGAACTTCAAAGGCTGTGCTGGAGCCTGGTCATGAGGTTGTTATTCCATAATTAGACTCCGTTGTGCCTCTGGTTCTGGATTGCACAACGGATTTGAAACCAAGTGAAGAGACTTGTGTAGGTTGTGTTAGGCAATCAGAGGGGCTCTTTGTGGTCTGAGTCTCTGTTTCCTCCTAATTCCAAGAGTTGGAGTTTTTTGTCTTTATTTTTTGTTTTGTTTTGTGAGACAGTCTCGCTCTTGTTGCCCAGGCTGGAATGCAGTGGCTTGACCTCAGCTCACCGCAACCCTCCCCTCCTGGGTTCAAGCGATTCTCCTGCTTCAGCCTCCCAAGTACCTGGGACCATAAGCACGTGCCACCATGCCTAGCTACTATTTTGTATTTTTACTAGAGATGGGGTTTCGCCATGTTGGCCAGGATGGTCTTGATCTCTTGACCTTGTGATCCACCCACATCGGCCTCCCAAAGTGCTGGGATTACAGGTGTGAGTCACCATGCCCAGCCGAGTTGTGGGGATTAAATAGGATTAACATATCAGCATTTAATGCAATGCTTAGGACATTGTATTCAATATATAAACTTTTATTAAAACTTTTGAATGCAAGAGGTTTTTGTTCTGTTTTTGAGAGGGAGTCTTGCTCTGTCGCCCAGGCTGGAGTGCAGCGGCGCAATCTTGGCTCATTGCAACCTCTGCCTCTTGGGTTCAAGTGATTCTCCTGTCTGAGCCTCCCCAGTAGCCGGGACTACAGGCACCCACCACCATGCCTGGCTAATTTTTGTATTTTTAGTAGAGATGGGGTTTCACCATATGGGCCAGGTTGGTCTCAAACTCCTGACCTTGTGATCCGCCCACCTCGGCCTCCCAAAGTGCTTGGATTACAGGCATGAGCCACCACGCCCGGTGAATGCAAAAGTTTTTAACATGCATCATGGCCTCTAAGGTCTCCATAATCTCCTTGATAATATGTGTGAAGTCATGCATGTGTAAAGCCCTTGCTTCTGAGCCCGTAGGCTGGACACAGCTGGCTCCTCCATGGAGGGCAACATGGCTCCTCAGCCTCTCAAAGATCAGCTCTGGGTGCCCAGGCTGCCTGCTGCTGGGGCTGGAATTCTTTTCATATTATTCCAGGGGATCTTTGGACTAGAATCCTAGATGTAGGATGCCTGGGCAGAAGGGTACATACATATATGACTTGCTCAGATATTGCCACATTCCCCGCCAAAGATTGTAGTCTTCTCACCAATCGTGTATGACAGCCCGTTAACCAACAGTCTTGCCTACAAATTTTGACAAAACTTGGAGATTTTTACCAATCTGCTAAGCAAGAAGTGGTATTTCATGGTCCTCTTTATTTCATCATATTATGAGCAAGGTTGAACATTGTTTGTATGTTTAAAAGCCATTTGCATTTCTTTGTGAATCTGTTATTTTTAGAAGCTGTATGTTATGGATATTAACCATTTAATACAGGTTCCAAATATATTTTCCCAGCTTGTAATTTTTATTTTTACTTGCTAATGAATTTTTCCATGTAAGATGTTTTTTGGTTTGTTTTGAGAGAGTCTCCCTCTGTCGCCCAGGCTGAAGTGCAGTGGTGTGACCTCGGCTCACTGCAACCTCTGCCTCCAGGGTTCAAGCAATTCTCCCACCTCAGCCTCCTAACTGGGATTACAGGTGCCCACCACCACACTGGCTAATTTTGTATTTTTAGTAGAGATGAGGTTTTGCCATGTTAGCCAGGCTGGTCTCGAACTCCTGCCCTCAGGTGATCCACCTGCCTTGGCCCCCCAAATTGCTGAGATTATAGGTGTGAGCCACCGCACCCAGCCTGGATTTTGAATTAGTACAGTTTTCCTCACTCCCAGGTTGCGCAGGAATTCTCTCGTTTTCCATTGGTCTCTAGTTCTTACATGGTTTCATTGGCCCAGTGACTCCAGCACCCACTGTGGAAAGAGTTTTCCCCCATTCCCGCCTTTGCAGTACAAAAAATGTCCATGTGTAGTTGGGCCTGCCTGTGGGTTTTTCATTCTGTTTTGCTCATCTGCCTGTGTATTCATGGGTTAGTTCTCCCCACTCACAACCCAAACTGTTCTTTTTCAGGGTTTTCTTGGCTACCTTGGCTTGTTCTTACAAATGAGCTTTATTTATTTATTTATTTTTTTGAGACGGAGTTTTGCTCTTGTTGCCCAGGCTGGATTGCAGTGGTACCATCTCAGCTCACTGCAACCTCAGCCTCCTGGGTTCAAGCGATTCTCATGTCTCAGGCTCCTGAGTAGCTGGGATTATAGGTGTGTGCCACCACGTCCGGCTAGTTTTTTGTATTTTTAGTAGAGACAGGGCCACACCATGTTAGCCAGGCAGGTCTTGAACTCCTGACCTCAGGTGATCCGCCTGCCTCGGCATCCCAAAGTGCTGGGATTACAGGTGTAGATACTCTTCTTATAAAGCCCATTTGTAGGCCACCACGCCTGGCCTACACATGAGCTTTATAAGAAGAGTATCTAACAACAAGGGCAAATGTCCATGAGATGGTGTTAGAAATAGCAGACAACAGAACCATGCACTATATACCTATAAATATTTTTTCTTTACAGAAAAATATTGTAAGGGAAAACATCAACATGTTTGTGTGGTCACATGATAACTGGGTTAAGGGTAGCATTATCCTGTTATTGGTGAAAATCCTGATGGAATACACTTGACCATCCCAAGGCTTCCTCCTTTGTCCTCACCTCAGTCCTGTGCCACTCTGGAGATCCTGTCACCCATTTGGCACAGACAGAGCAATTTCAGGCACCTCTCTGCAAGGGAGAGACTGCATTATGGCCAGGTGGAGCCTGGATGTACCACTTCTGCCCAGCGGGGGAGGAAGGCAGGTGGAGTTCAAGCCTGTCTGATTTTGCTCCCTACTGTTCTGCTCTCCTGTCCCCATGAAGGGGGGCTTCCCTCCTCTCCCAGGTGACAGTTCATAAGAGGGAAGGGGACCAAGCTTCTATTTTGGCCCGGCACTGTCCAGAACTTTCGGCAATGGTAGAAATGGTCTTTATCTGTGCTGTCCAACATAGGACCCACCTGGGCTGATCACAACCCCCAAAACAGGATCCCAATGCCATAATCCTGAATGTTGAAATCCCGAAAGATCAAAACTCCTAAAGTCTGAAATCCTAAAAATCACAATCCCAAAAGCCCAAACTGAAGAAGTCTTGATTGTACCTAATTTCAAATCTGTAATTTATGATTTGGGGATTCAATCAGACATCAAGGGATTTTAAACTTTAGGGATTTTGATCTTTCAGGATTTCAACATTTGGGGTTATGGCGTTTGGGACTGTCATTTGGATTATGGCCAAAACCCAGGAACCACGAACCCCATGTGACTATCAAGCACTTGAAATGTGGGTGGTGTGGGTAATGAACCGAGTTTCAAATCTCATTTACTTTTAATTAAATAGCCACTGCAGCTAGTGGCTACTCTACTGGACAGTGCAGCTTTGACTAATTCCCAACCCAGCCACCCCTCTTCCAACCCAGAACTGGAAGGAAAGACCGTGCGAGCATGCTGAGCATCCAGGGGAGATGACAGCAGCCCTGGGCAGGGAGTGGGAGAAGCCTGGGGGGCAGCTCTGGAACCAGGCCCTGCTCAGCAAAGGCCACAGGAGCCCTGGGAAGCAACCAGCCTGAAGCATCTCCCCACCCGTGTCCACAATGGCAGCCCTCCCACCTCACAATGTCACAATACCACAGGCAGGAGGCCAGGCAGGCAAAGCGGCTTCCTCCAGGGCAGGGCTCTTTGTCTCCAGACCTACTTCCAGCAACCAAGGCGGCTGAGGGCCCATCTCCTGGGGAATGGAAAAGTGCCCAGTTGCTGGGAGGCCTCAAGCTGGAGAGCTATGGGGGAAGCAGGGCAGGTGTGGGGCTGGGAGAAGCTACTAAGCCCCACACCCCAGGTGCCCCGGGGCCTGGCAGCCCAGCTGCAGGGAGATGGAACACTCTGAGCAGCTATTCCTCTTCCTGGCCATTTGGTTCATCTACTTCTTTTCTGACACCAACCTCTCTTCCAACTACTCAGGGGCTGAAAGGGCGACTAGAGGGCCAAAGCCCCTGTGAGTGAGGACAGAGAATGGCCAAAGGCCAGAGCCACAAGGCAAACCACCTTCGCACCTTGGGAAGACAGATTTGGAGACTGAAGCTGCCTGGGCCCCTCTGCCCCCCAAACTGCAGGGGTGCCATGGCCCTGGCCTCTTGCTTTCAGAAGGCCATCGAGTCAATGTCACGGGAAGGGGAAGAGACATGTGCCCACAGACCTTCTGGTCATGGAGGGGGCAGAAGGTCTCTGGAGGGCAGCAGGGCCACAGCAAGGCTCTGGGGCCCTGAGTCTTCTCCTTCCGTGGATTTCAACTCTGCGTGTTGATAGCTGCTCTGTGCTTGGGTCCAGGTTCTAGTGAGAAATAAACTGCCTTCGGAGCCACGTGACAGCAAGAGAAATTTTATCCCCATTTTCTAGGGGACAGAAACAGAGCCCAGTGGTGCTTAGCATGTTTCTGGTAAGGGTAGTGAAAAGACCACTTCCTTTTGGGGGAAGTTTTTCAAACAAGAAAAATGAGCGCAACTCCTGGACATGGCTCCACCTGGACCTAGGACAGGACCTGACATTCCAGGGACTCCCAGGCTGGGTTTTCCACCAGAGCAGTGTTGGGGGCCGGAGCCTGTTAGAAATGCACATCCCCAGGGCCCTGCAGGCGGTCTGGATAGTACCTCCAGCACAGCTGCTTAAGGGGAGGCAGCCCAGCCCTCACCTGGGAGCGCTGTGCTGACACTGACTGCACACTGAGGCTCCTGGGGTTGGGTGGACAGGATTCCCCTGGAGAGATGGGCCCCAGCAGCCAGAGCGCACTGTGGGTATCAAGCTGCCAGTGAGAAGTAGGCTATTCCCTGAGACCATGACAGGTTGAGGGTGGGAATCACCACCCCTGACACTCACCAAGAAATGCTTTTGCTACCTGCTGGGGCTTTTTCTTTTCTTTGAGCCAGTCTCGCTATGTCACCCAGGCTGGAGTGCAGTGGCGCAATCTCGGATCACTGTAACCTCTGCCTCCCAGGTTCAAGTGATTCTCCTGCCTCAGCCTCCCAAGTAGCTGGGAGGCGCCCACTACCACGACCAGCTAATGTGCTGGGGCTTTTCTAAGAACAAAAGTACATGGGAGGGCAAGGCAAGATTCTGGAGAGGCACAGACACTGAAAGCCAGGGGCAGACAGGAGACTCGCCAGCCAGGGTGGCACAGGGTATCTATGCAGACCCTCAGGTCTCATGTGAGGGCTGAATCAAGGTCAGTGCCATTGGGAAGCAAAGGGAAGCATGTGACCACCTCTCTGAAGCCAGCTTTGTGGACAAATGACATATGAACTCAAGAAAATGCAGGCTTGGCTAGGCAGTGGTTCACGCCTGCAATTCCAGCACTTTGGGAGGATCACTTGAGCCCAGGTGAGTCCAGTCTGGACAACATAGCAAGACCTTGCCTCTACAAAAAATAAAAAATAAAAAAATTAGCTGGGCAGGGTGGGACATGCCTATAGCTTCTGCTACCTGGCAGGCAGAGGTGGGAGGATCCCTTAAGCCCAGGAGTTTAAGGCTGCACTGAGTTATGATCACACCACTGCCCTCGAGCATGGGGAACAGAGACCGACCCGGTCTCAGGAAAAAAAAAAGCAGCGGCCAGGCTCAGTGGTTCACGTCTATAATCCCAGAACTTTGGAAGGCTGAGGCGGGCGGACTGCCTGAGGTCAGGAGTTCGAAACCAGCCTGGCCAACATCATGGTGAAACCCCATCTCTACTAAAAATACGAAAAATTAGCTGGGCATTGTGGCGCACACCTGTAATTCCAGCTACTCCAGAGGCTAAGCAGGAAAATCACCTGAACCCAGGAGGTGGAGGTTGCAGTGAGCCGAGATCGTGCCACTGCACTCCAGCCTGGGCAACACAGCGAGACTCTGTCTCCAAAAAAACCTAATCCCAAACCCGATCTCTAAAGTCTTAGGTATGGTCTAGAGCCCTGGATGGCCTAAAGGAAAGGAATGTGCAGTGCACCATGGCCTGTTCACAGGGACCTGCGCTAAGCTCAAGGGTAAAATACAGCCTTACAAAGCATCTCCAGGCTGCTCCTTCCCAAACTTACTTAGAAGGGAAGAGGGAAAGGCAAGTATGTTTTCTCACTGAGGTTCTTCTAATGGCTGGAATCTGATACAGTATCAAGTTGTAGGGATATGGATCTATTTGGGACTCCATAAAGCTAAATGTTGGACTGAAGAAGAATGCAGCCTGTAAACAAGTATTTTTTCCTGAAACTGGCCATGTGCAGACATGCTGTGCTCCCTGTCAGGGAGCAGTTTGAGGATCCGGCTGAGCACGGCTGGCACAGGTAAAGGAGCTCTCCACCTTCCCCCCATGTACACCCACCTGCAAACCTAGGTTCTGAGCCCCCTCGCAGGGGACAGATCTGAAAACTCGACTTTGTGTCCTTTCAGGCTGTTGACAGAAATGACAACCTGATGGGTTGCAGTGACTCCATACAGCTGCCCTGTGAGTTCTACTTATGCGGATGCAGGTGGGTGACAGGAGTGTGACGACACAGATGGGCACTCTACCAGGAGGAAGCCCAGAGCAGACGTCAACCATCGCTTTATTAAGGCTGCCAGTCGGGGGCTGAGTCATGCACTCTACAGACACCCCCACCCCTCAAGGTCCACTTTTGAATGACCCTGAAGGCAGAGGCTCCTGAGATCTGAGCCACAGTCTAGGATGAGCCACCCACAGTGCCCTGCTGGAAGGGGGTGCACATAAACTGCAGGGGGGCCCTCAGTAGGGGTGCTCCTGTCTAGGGTGGGGCTGGTTCCAGCAGACCCTGGGCTCAGGCAGGGTGAGTGGAAGGGAGGCAGGGGAGACAAGGACTTTCACCCCACCCTCTGGCCTATGGCTTTGTTGCCCTATTGCCACCACTGTGAAAGCAGTATGATACACCGTGAAGTGATGAACGAAAGCCCCAGGAGGGGGCAGACAGCTCTGTGCCTGGGACCTGGCCAGACCTCAGGGGTGCTGTGCCCTGCTCCTGTTCCCCTCAGCCCCTTCCAGTGATGGGTCTCCTCCGGTGGAGGTCAGTCACTCAGAAGTGGACCCGCAGCACGTCCTGGCTAGCAACTGGCCGCTGGCAGGTGGTGCACATCATGGGCAGGGAGTGTTGCTTCTCACCCAGGCAGGGTCGGCACAGGAGGTGGCCGCAGGGCAGCTGGTACACTGGCTCCTTTTTGAAGTAGGGAGAAAACACTCTTTTGCAGGAGGCACACTCGGGGCCCGGGATGCTCCCAGGCTGCTCTGGTAAATCAGGGAGGAAAACAGTCCAGGGTTAGGAAAGCTGCTCCATGGTCCAGGCTGGTCTGAGAGGCACAGCCTTCCCACAAGGCCGCTACAGCAGCTGGTTCATCCCTCCCGAGCCCGCCCCAGGCTGATCTCAGAAGGGAGTGGGAGATGGAGAGGGAGCCCGGGAACCCAGGAGGCCTTTTCTCTATCATCTTTGACCAAATCTCTGTGCCTCTACGAATGCTTGAGAAGAGCTGGCTTCTGAGGGCAGCAGGCAGGACTGGGCCCTTCCTCCTAGTCTCCCAGCAAGCTATACTTTCCCTGAGATAGGCAGCCAAGCCTGGAGCAAGGCACAGCTCACTCTAACAATATAAACTGCAAGAAACATGAGATGCGACAAGAAAAGGAAAAGGCAGGCCAGTGGGTGGCTCACGCCTATAATCCCAGCATTTTGGGAGGTTGAGGCAGGAGGATCACTTGAGTCCAGGAGTTTGAGACTAGCCTGGGCAACATAGTGCAATCCTGTCTCTACAAAAAAGAAAAATGAAAGGAAAAAACAGCAAATGGTCCAGTGTACCAGAGTTGGGAAGTGTGAGGAGGGAGGTCAGCAGAGACAGGGTTGAGGCCTGCAGCGCACCTGCCTCTGGGGCCTGGCTCCTGCTCCCTTCAGCCCTGCAGCCCCCTCACTGCTACTGGCAGCTCTGCTCCCGACCCCTCAATCCCCTCCTGTGCTTCCCTGGCCATCTGGGCAGACTCTCCCTCCTTCCGCAACTCCTGCAGGGCATCCTTGAATGAGGGTCACAGTGGGCAGCTCTGGCCATGCCCCACTAGGCTGTACCCACAGCTCTTCCTTTCCTCGTGGCCCCTCTGGAGAGTGACAGGGGATGGGCTTGCCTGTCCTCTCTGCAGTCCCTGTCTCCATTCCTAGCCACTACTCTCTGGGGGATCCCAAAGGAACCTCAAACCAATCTGCTTCAGAAATGTTTCTTTTTTTTTTTTCTTTTTTTTTTAGACGGAGTTTCGCTCTTGTTACCCAGGCTGGAGTGCAATGGTGTGATTTCGGCTCACCGCAACCTCCGCCTCCTGGGTTCAGGCAATTCTCCTGCCTCAGCCTCCTGAGTAGCTGGGACTACAGGCACACGCCACCATGCCCAGCTAATTTTTTGTAGTTTTAGTAGAGATGGGGTTTCACCATGTTGACCAGGACGGTCTCGATCTCTTGACCTCGTGATCCACCCGCCTCAGCCTCCCAAACTGCTGGGATTACAGGCTTGAGCCACCGCGCCCGGCCAGAAATGTTTCTTAACCCCCCTTCTCTCTGTCCATTTCATCACCATAATCCAGGCCGCTTAGCACATCTCTTCCTAACGCTTCACTCTTCTCCAGGCTTGTCCTCTCAATCTGTCCTCAAAGCTGCCTCCAATGACCCACCTATGTAACCTGATCACCCCATGCCTCTGCCTTCTACCTCTTAGTGGCTCCCCATCTTTTGGGACAGCCAAGACTCCCTGCACGGCCCACCCAGCCTCCTCACCTCTCTTCACACCAGTCTCACCTTCTGGAGTGCAGCAGCTTCCAATCACTTCTCTGCACACACACTGGCCAGACCTCAGAGGTGCTGCTGGCTTCCTCACTTTGTGCTTGCTGTTCCCTCTGCCTAGAATGCCCTTATCTGGAGACTTGGCTCAGACCTCACCCATTCCAGGAAGCCTCCCCAGACTGCTCCTTTCCTGTGCATTTAGAGCCCATTCGCACTTCTCAGCCTCCAAGCTAGCATGCCTGCTTCCTCCCGAGGCTTTGCAGGCCTGGAGGGTCAGGACTATGTCCATGTTGCTCATCTGGCCTCAGGGCCTGGCGCAGCACCTCACAGGGCACCTGCTCCATTCACATGTGATAAATGGACCTGCCATCTACACTCAGGCACCAGGAACCAAAGAAGGGAGAGAAGGGGTGCCCTACACAGGGGAGCAGAAACTGAAGTGTAGTCTAACGAGCACTCCCTGCCTCCACATCCCTGAGAACTGTAGCCAGGAAAGAGTGGCCTGGCTGTGGGCGTTTTCTTTGGGCCAAACATTAAGCAACATAAAAGTACTGGTGCCTCTCCTGTGCACACAAGCCAAGAATACCCCAGTGAGTGGAAAGGTGAACCTCTACAGGGAAGGGAAGGAGGGAGAGAGACCCAAGGAGGAATGAAGGCGGCGAGGGAGGAGGGAAAGAAGGAAGGGGAGGAAAGAGCCACTGACTGCTTTTCAGTGGTTCCCCTTCCATGAAGGCTCTGCTAGAGGCTTCAGAGATCTGCCTGACCCACCCACAGCACACCATGAGAACTTATTTTCCAACAGAGTTTTAAAAACCACACCTGGCAGAACACTACAGAGGCATGCAAGGGCCCCAATTTCTCCCAGCACTGACCAGAAGTCCTATTAAAGGGACTCGGAGGCCTAGAGCCCCGGGGGCAGTTTCAGTGACAGAAAAAAAAAATCATCAAGAAAAAGACAATCATTGTGCCCTGGGCAAACTGGAAACCCAAGTATATAACTGCAAACCGAGGCAATTAAGAGAGAGGATGCTTTGAACAGGGTGGGCTAACATGGCCTCCTACAGGAAGAGCTGTGAGAATGAAAAGGGGCCAGCCACGAAGAATGAAAGGACAGCAAGCACAAAGAACAGACTGTCCGTTAAAGAAAAAGGCACAGTGAGACCAAGCGTGGTGGCTCACGCCTGTAATCCCAGCACTTTGGGAAGCCGAGGCAGGTGGAACACCTGAGGTCAGGAGTTCAAGACCAGCCTGGCCAACATGGCTAAACACGAGGTCAGGAGTTGGAGACCAGCCAGTCTCTACTAAAAATACACACAAAAAAATTAACTGAGCTTGGCGGCGTATGCCTGTAATCCTAGCCACTAGCGGGGGCTGAGGCAGGAGAATAGCTTGAACCCAGAAGGTAGAGGTTGCAGTGAGCCAAGATCATGCCACTGCACTCCAGCCCAGGCAACAGAGTGAAACAGAGTGAGACTCTGTCTCAAAAAAAAAAAAAAAAAAGAGATTAGAGAGTCCAGGGCCAGAGCTGGTAGAGAGGGCAACTGGCAATGGAAACTGAAGAGGGACCACTGAAGACAGGAGAAAAGATGCAAAACAGCCTGAAAGCCAAGAGAGAAGGCGTTTCAGGCAGCACGGGCTGGCTGGCCACATAACATAATGCCGAAAGGGTAAGCAACCATGAGATCTGAAGTCAGGGAAGTGGAGGCCACTTTATAAGACAGGTTCTTGGGGGTGGTCAGGACAGAGTAGGCAGGAGAGAGACAGGGAAGTGGGGAACTAGAGACAGAAGAGGAAGGCAGCCTGGGGTCCAGACACCAACGGAAGGCACTGGCTTTGTGCAGGCAGGAAAGGAATCAGGTATGTGCCTTATCGTAGGCCCCACCAGGCTCTATCTCATAAAAAATGTCTTGCTTTGCAGTCAGTTTCTCTTGCTTTGTATCCTAACAGATTCTGGCATACAGTGGGGGCAAAGGTTCATTTTAGGCAAAAACTGGCCCATAAGCTGCCATTGCTCTTTTCTAAGACACTGATGGAAGTGTTAATACAAAGGGAAGAGGATGAGGATCCCTTCTCTCTTCACAACCCGAACCTCTCTTCAACCCGAACCTCTCTTCAAATTTACATGAAGTGCTTGTATGTCACACTAGAGACAGGCTAAATGAGAAAAAATAACAAAAAAGGCCAGGCATGGTGGCTCATGCCTGTAATCCCAGAACTTTGGGAGGCCAAGGCGGGCGGATCACGACAAGGTCAGGAGTTCGAGACCAGCCCGGCCAACATAGTGAAACCCTGTCTCTACTAAAAATACAAAAAATTAGCTGGGCATGGTGGTGGGCGCCTGTAATCCCAGCTACTCAGGAGGCTGAGGAAGGAGAATCACTTGAACCCAGGAGGCAGAGGTTGCAGTAAGCCAAGACTGTGCCACTGTACTCCAGCCTGGGGAACTGAGCAAGACTATCTCAAAAATAAATAAATAACAACAAAAAAGAGAGCAACAAAAATCCTCAAGAGAGAATAATTAATATTAGATATCACAAAGAAACACAGCAGAGGGTGGCCAAGCCCTACATCCACAGAATTACTAAGGGTTGACTAAAGAAAGCCTTTCTTGTAAGAAGTTTAAGTTCACAGGCAGACCCTCAATTCCCCCTGGAAAAGGCAAGAGAACAGGCTCTCTCCCAGGCTGGGTGTTGGAACTGAGGGGGAGGCTGGCCAGGCAGGTCCACAGGGCCCCCGGGGACTCAGCCCAGCATCCAGAGACAGAGAACAGACCACCTATTCCAAGGCTTCAAGGAGATGGCGGGGGCCCATGTTACCCGAGCTGGTGCCAGGCCTCCAGGAAGCGCTGCTCCCTCTTGCGCCAAGGTGCTGGAGCTGTCCCCTGGTCAGCCGTGCCGTAAAGGAGGGCATGGAGCCAAGGGTGGATGCCAAGGCAATTTCCAAGCTTTGTGACAGCTTCTGCTCGTGGGACAGTGGACCTGTCGAGAGAGGCACACAACCAGAGACAGGCTCCGCAACACAGAACAGCCTCAAGTCCTTCGAGGGCTATAAAAATGGCACCTTCAATCTCACACATCAGTGTAGTGAAACTCCATCCTAATGTCTATTTGTGGACCATGACAGGACACCAGGAGGTAAAGCCCTAGGAACCCTTGGCAGTTCCTGCCCATCCACCCGCTTCAGGCTTTTCTCCTCCTGGAGAAACTGCTGGGCAGGCATGGGCCACCTCGTGGCTCAACTGCAGAACTGCACCCTCCTTTTCCTTTTTTTGAGATGGCGTCTAGCTCTGTTGCCAGGCTGAGTGCAGTGGCTCAATCTCCGCTCACTGCAACTTCTGCCTCCCAGGGTTCAAGTGATTCTCCTGCCTCAGCTTCCGGAGTAGCTGGGATTACAGGTGTGCACCACCACACCCGGCTAATTTTTTTATTTTAGTAGAGATGGGATTTCTACTAAATCCCATTTAGTAGTCAGGATGGTCTCGATTTCCTGACTCTGTGATTCGCCCGCCTCGGCCTCTCAAAGTGCTGGGATTACAGGTGTGAGCCACCACGCCCGGCCTCCTTTCTAACTGCCTCCTTGCTGGCCAAGGAAATGACAGGAGCAAGCAAAAGCTGGCTTTCGATTCCTGCTCCCTAACCCCCATTCCCTCCCCGATGGCCTTAGTCTTCTCTTTCCCTAACTCCTCCCTTCTGGGGACCCCACTACCCCACAGTGGGGCTCATCTGCATTTTCTAGGTGTTCATGTCCTCTCTCTCCTGTTAAGTAAAACAAAGCAGTTTTTACCGAATAGAACTAAGATGCCACACTGACCACACCACAATTTAGGGGACCGTCAGTGTAGGGTCAACAGAAAGCCAAGTCATGGAACAAGGGTGAAGGCCAAAGGGGTAGGGGGACAGCTGACCAAGAAAGGCCCCAGGGACCTGCCTCAAAGCAAAATTTGCAGTGCTGTCCCAAAGAGGGGAATGGAACGTTTTGTCTATTGTTTGCAGGACACAGGACATCAGCCTAGGGCCTTGAAGGAGCCTTAGTCAGCATGGTCCTAAGTCACCAAGTTTGTCAAGACCAACTGCATGGAGACCTCCACAACTGACACTGAGGTCTAAGGACTTTTTCCCTTGTTCCATCCCACTGCGCCTCAGACACTTCCAGGATTTTCTGGAGATCATGTTAACTAGAATTTACTCTTAAAACCAAAGACACAGAAATAAACATTAAGCATACTATTTGCATAGCCTTTTAGAAGAAGACAGGAAATTAAAACAACTATCAACTCTAAACAAAACAATTTTAATTAAAAAAAAAAAGAAAAGAAAAGATTGTCAGGCTGGACACAGTGGCTCACGCCTGTAATCCCAGCACTTTGGGAGGCTGAGACAGGCAGATCACCTGAGGTCAGAAGTTCAAGACCAGCCTGGTCGACATGGCGAAACCCTGTCTCTACTAAAAATATAAAAATTAGCCAAGTGTAGTGGTGCATGCCTGTAATGCCAGCTACTCAGGAGGCTGAGGCAGGAAAATTGCTTGAAATCAGGAGGCGGAGGTTGCAGTGAGGTGAGATTGCACCACTGCACTCCAGCCTGGGTGACAGAGCAACACTCCGTTCCCCCACACCAAAAAAAAAAAAACCATTAACAGGGCCGGGCGCAGTGGCTCACATCTGTAATCTCAACACTTTGGGAGGCCAAGGCAGGCAGATAACTTAAGGTCAGAAGTTCGAGACCAGCCTGGTCAACATAGCGAAACCCCATCCCTACTGAAAAACACAAAAAAACTGGCCAGGCACAGTGGCTCACGCCTATAATCCCAGCACTTTGAGAGGCCAAGGTGGGAGGATCACGAGGTCAGGAGTTCGAGACAAACCTGGCCAACATGGTGAAACCCCGTCTGTACTAAAAATATAAAAATTAGCCAGGCATGGTGTTAAGCACCTGTAATCCCAGCTACTCAGGAGGCTGAGGCAGGAGAATCACTTGAATCCAGGAGGACGTTGCAGTAAGCTGAGATCATGCCACTGCACTCTAGCCTGGGCGACAAAGCAAGACTCTGTTTCAAAAACAAAAAAAAACTTAGCAGGGTGTGGTGGTGCGCACCCGTAGTCTTAGCTACTCAAGAGGCTGAGGCAGGAGAATTGCTTAAATCCCAGCAGCAGAGGTCGCAGTGGGCAGAGATTGCATCACTGCACTCCAGCCTGAGCAACAAAGGGAGATTCTGTCTCCAAAAAAAAAAAAGAAAAGAAAAGAAAACCCGCCAGGCATGGTGGCTCACGCCTGTAATCCCAGCACTTTGGGAGGCCAAGGCGGGTGGATCACAAGGTCAAGAGATTGAGACCATCCTGGTCAACATGGTGAAACCCCGTCTCTACTAAAAATACAAAAAATCAGCTGGGCATGGTGGCGCGTGCCTGTAATCCCAGCTACTCAGGAGGCTGAGGCAGGAGAATTGCCTGAACCCAGGAGGCGGAGGTTGCGGTGAACCAAGATCGCACCATTGCACTCCAGCCTGGGTAACAAGCGCGAAACTCCGTCTCAAAAAAAAAAAAAAAAAGAAAAAAAGAAAAGAAAACCCATTAACAGGAAGGGCACTGTCATGTTAACAGGTGGTTCATGCCTGCCTGTAATCCCAGCACTTTGGGAGACCAAGGCAAGTGGATGACTTGAGGTCAGGAGTTCGAGACCAGCCTGGCAGAGATGGCGAAACCCTGTCTCTATTAAAAATACAAAATATTAGCCAGGCGTGGTGGCAGGCACCTGTAATCTCAGCTACTTAGGAGGCTGAGGCAAAAGAATCTCTTGAGCCTGAGAGAGAGGTATCAGCGATCTGAGATCATGCCATTGTACTCCAGCCTGGGTGACAGAGCAAGACTCTGTCTCAAAACAAAAACAAAAACAAAAAAAACAACCATTAACATTAAAAGATTCATGACCAAATGAAGTTTACTCCAGGAATGTACGAATGGTGCAATATTGATAGTGCAAAGAAGGCAAAGAAAGGAGAAAAGAAAGAATGGTGCAATATTAGAAAATCCATTAACGTATTTTATTACATTAAAAGATCTGAAGGGCTGGGCAGGGTGGCTCACGTCTGTAATCCCAACACTTTGGTAGGCTGATGTGGGTGGAGCACCTGAAGTCAGGAGTTCGAGACCAGCCTGACCAACATGGAGAAACCCTGTCTCTACTTAAAATACAAAAGTAACCAGGCATGGTGACATAATTCCAGCCACTCAAGAGGCTGAGGTGGGAGAATCGCTTGAACCTGGGAGGCAGAGGTTGCAGTGAGCCAAGATTGTGTCATTGCACTGCAACCTGGGCAACAAGGGTGCAACTCTGTCTCAAATAATAATGATTATAGTATCATTTCCACTGATACTAAAAGGCATGAAACAAAGTTCGATTCCCCAGTCCTGGATAAAAATAATAAAATAGATATCAGTGGCAGAGGAGAGTTTCTGAAGCGTCTCCAGGTAAACTCTACCTCCTGATATTCATGCTCTTTGGTATCCTCTCCCTTTGAGTGGGCTGGACTTAGAGTCTTGTTCTAACAAACAGAACACAGTGATCCATTTCTTCAACAGGCAGGAAAGACACTGGTGTTGAGGCTGACATACCTATCAAGGACAACCACTATGATGGCTTCTGGTGCTTTGATGAAACCTCAGGTGATCGGCCCTCTAGCCAGGCGTCTGAGGTTTCATATTGTTGGAGCACTCGTGTTCCTGGGGGCTGCAGCTAATTTTGCTGCAGCTGAAAGAAGAAAGACGGCACACGCAGATTTCTACAGAAATGATGATTCCATGAAAGATTGTGAGGAGATGAGAAAGGCTGATATCTTTCACAATGCAAAGTGATTTTGGAATATAAAGAATTTCTTGGCCAGGCACAGTAGCTCAGGCCTGTAATTCCAGCATTTTGGGAGGCTGAGGTGGGTGGATCACATGAGGTCAGGACTTTGAGACCAGCCTGGCCAGCATAATGAAACCCCATGTCTACTAAAAATACAAAAATTAGGCCAGCCGAGGTGGTTCACACCTGTAATACCAGCTACTCAGGAGGCTGAGGGAGGAGAATCGCTTGAGCCCAGGAGGCGGAGGTTGCAGTGAGCCAACATCATGCCACTGCACTCCAGCCTGGGTGACAGAGTGAGGCTCCATCTCATAAAAATACAAAAATTAGCCAGGCGTGGTGGCATGCACCTGTAGTCTCAGCTATTCCAGAAGCTGAGGCAGGAGAATTGCTTGAACCTGAGAGGCAGAGGTTGAAGTGAGCCGAGATCATGCCACTGCACTGCAGCCTGGGTGATACAGCAAGACTCCATCTCAAAAAAAAAAAAAGAAAGAAAAGAATTTCTGAGTTGAATTATACAGAAGTTTGTCACCGAGCTGTGCTCTTGAACTAAGAAATATGAAGATGGAGGCTAAAAAAATTATTTATCTTGATATTATAAATAAGCAGTTAACAAACACCTTGAGAAAAATTGGAATACAGTAGAAGTGAGGAGTGTGCCTTTCAAGATTAGATTCTAAAAGACGTTTTTCCCTCGTCTGCACTCTCTCTGGAACACACAACTGCCATACGTGCACTGCCCTACAGAGACCCATGTGGCAAGGAACAAAGAGAAGCCTGGGGCCAACAGCCAACCAGCAAGTGAGGCCTCCGTCCAATAATGCATCAGGAGCTGAATCTTGCAACAATCACGTGGGTGAGACTAGAAGTAAATGCCTTCCCTAGTCGACCCTTGAGATGACCACAGCCCTGGCCACCAGTTTGACAGCAGCCCTGGAAGACCCTGAAGCAGAGAATCCAGACAAGTTATGCTGGGATTTGTGACCCACAGAAGTTATGAGAAAATGAATGTTTGTTGTTTTAAACCAGTAAGTTTTGGGGTAATTTGTTACCTAGCAATAGAGAACCAATACTTCTCTAACATGGCAAAAACATCTATCTCAGCCTAAGAGCCAACATCCAGCTTACAATGAGGCATTCACACTGAATACGTTCAGCTGCAGAGGTCACCCAGTGAACCAGGGCTGCTCAACTCAGAAGAGAGAAACATCACCGGCCCCAGAAATCACTGGCAATGCCCCAGGAAGAGGCAGGAAGCCAGGATCCCTAAATCTCATATTTAAGAATATTGCAGGCTGGGCGTGGTGGCTCATGCCTGTTATCCCAGCACTTTGGGAGGCCAACGTGGGTGGATCACCCGAGGTCAGGAGTTTGAGACCAGCTTGACCAACATGGTGAAACCCTGTCTTTACTAAAAATACAAAATTAGCCAGGTATGGTGGCGCATGCCTGTAATGCCAGCTACTCAGGCGGCTGCGGCAAGAGAATTGCTTGAACCCAGGAGGTGGAGGTTGAGGTGAGCCGAGAATACGCCATTACACTCCAGCCTGAGTAACAAGTGAAACTCCTTCTCAAAAAAAAAAAAAAAAAGAATGTTGTAATTTTACCTGTGGATCCCACCAAATGCAACAAGGAAGAAAAACAGAAAGAAAGAAAGAAAAAAAAAACACACAAAGAGAATGTTGCAATTTGTCCACACATTTACAGAGTGTACTTTCTTCCGTGTGGTTTTTCTCTTCAGTAACTATCTCCTGAAAAGAACGCCCCCAAGCCTAGTCCCTGTTTCCTTTTCTGTGTACTCAAGGCACATCTGGTGAGGGGGACATGGAGGACCTCCATGCAATGTATCCTTGTATCTCTGTGAAGGTTAGAAACGACACCCAGAGGAGCCCACTGGCACATGAATAACACAAAGAAGGTACCAGAGGGCATGCTCTGCTTTGAGGAACTGGTATCTCTCCTCCCAGCAGCTCTGACCAGAGGCTTCAAGCCAGGAAAAAGTGTTGAACAGGCCAAGGCACATAAAGGGAGCCCAAGGAAGGCCAAAGTGCCCATGGGACCATCACCAGCAGAGGAGCGAAACATGCAGACTGAAGCCTTGGAACAGACGAGAACACACAGAACCCCTCCAAGGCTCCAGGTTGTCCCTGGTCTGAAGACAATGCTGAGGGGCCCCACAGTGGGAAATAGGAAGGAGGCAGCACAGGAACAGCCTCAGGAATATAAGGTGGCCAAGCACAAAGCAAAGGGTAGCAGAGCCAAGTGCCCCCAGGAGGGAGATAGACGAGTCTGGCCGCAGACACAGGATGCTGAATTACCTGTTGAGCAGTCCATGTGTGTCAGGCTCGGCTCACTGGTGGCTTTCATTTTCTTAGCAGTGTGCTCTGAGGTAGTGGGTAGAACCAGAGGGCTTGTGGCAGAAAAATAGGAGGCATTTATACCAAGGTTACTGTCTGGGACACGTTCAGCCTGCTCTATCTTCCTTTTCCGACAGGGCAAAACAATGGAGGAAGGGGTCACTGCCAATGCCGTCTGTGCTCTCCCAAGCAGGTGGCAGCCGGGGATGGAGTGCTGGAGCAGAAAATGGTCAATCCGGGCCTTCAGGGAGGGGTGAGGCAGGGGCTGAGAGTGTGGAGTAAAAGCTACCCCTGTGAAAGGGTCACTGGGCACTCGGCCCCATGTGGCTTCGCTGCGGTTACACTTCTCCAGCGTGCTCTGGTCGATGACCTTGCCTGAGGGCAGCAGCATGGGACAAGGCATAATCTCCAGGGTGATGGGATCCAGGAACTCCTCAGGCACATCCTGAATGTTCTCGGCCAGCTTCTGCAGGCTGGAGGGGGCCTGCTGGCTCTCAGACTGGTCCCCTGGGTCACAGTCACTTTCCATGGGCAAGGCTGGGGCCTGCAGAGCCACGTCCTGAGGGAGGCTCTCCGAGGCGACCAGCAGGATGCTGTCTATCACCTCCTGGGAGCAGGTCTTGGCTGGCTGACCCCATACTTCCAACCGCTTGATACAAGGGACACCACCACCTGTCATATGGGTGATACAGATCCTTAGATGGGCCACGTGGCTAAGGGAAAGAGCCCCTTTATTCCAGAGCTCCTGGGCCACAACAGCAGGGGAGGGGAGTGTGGCTTCCATTGGGCCAAAAGGGGGCCTGGCCTTGAAGCCCCTATGGCTAAACACCACTTGGCTCTGGTTTTTCAGTAAGACTTTGCCTACCAAGGTGAACGTCTCCTTATCTGGGACAGATGGCTCGTCTGGGTCTGGGGTCCGGCACTGGGGCGTACTCCAAGACACTCTGCTAGATGAGGCAGATGTGTACATTTCCAGGCCCGTGATGTTCTGACATCCCCCAGCTGTGAGGTCTATGTTGATCCTACAGATTTCCACGTTAAAGGGAAATGAAACTGTCACACAGACTGGTGGCTTAATGAAATATTCCGTCCTGAAACCATGACTTCTCTTTGTGAGATCTTCAGAGATGAGATTTTCTACTTCATAACCATCAGCTGATATCTAGATTTAATAAAAAACATGAGACACAATGATCCAAATGAAGACAACTTGTCACTTGTAAGAAAACTCTTAAGCCTGAGGTTCCTCATTTTAAAATTTCCTCTATTAAACTGAATTGTCCCAGATTTTTTTGCAGGCACCCAATATCAAATCAAAGGTCAAGGGCAACCATGTCCCCAAGTATTCCCCAACCTTAAAAATATGAGCAAACTGAGCTGGGTATGGTGGCACATACCTGTAGTCCCAGCCACTTGGGAGGCCGAGGCAGGAGGATCCCATTAGCCCAGGAATTAGATAGGCCTGGGCAACACAGCAAGACCCCATATCCCCATCCCCCCAAAAAAAGCAAGCAACAAAATCCTGCCCAATCCAACCAAAACTCTCTTCAAAACAATATCTGGGGAGAGAATGGCAGGGGAGAGAAAGTATTTCTACCTTTGCCATGACTTTGACAAGACTTGAGATTGATCATCAAAGAATAAAGAGTACAATTATTAAAATAAGTATTAAGATTCTTTTTTTTGAGACAGAGTCTCATTCCGTCACCAGGCGCCAGGCTGGAGTGTAGTGGTGTGACCTCAGCTCACTGCAACCTCTGCCTCCCGGGTTCAAGCAATTGTCCTGCCTCACCCTCCCAAGTAGCTGGGACTATAGGCGCGCATCACCACACCCAGCTAATTTTTTTGTATATTTTGACAGAGACGGGGTTTCACCATGTTGGCCAGGATGGTCTTGATCTCTTGACCTCGTGATTCGCCCGCCTTGGCCTCCCAAACTGCTGGGATTACAGGCGTGAGCTACCGTGCCCAGCCAAGATTCTTTATTTAAAAAAAAAAAAAAAAAAAAAGAGTGCAGTGGAGAACCCTGCACAAAATGCGTCACAGCTCACCTCATCATGGCGCTGTGTATGATTCTAGAGGCAAGCCTGCCCCATGCTTACCTAAATACCATCTGATGGAATCTAAAGTCACGAGGGCAAAAGTACAGTAAGCCTGAATCAAATCCACACACACAAGGCAGGAAATGATGTAACACATGACAAAGATATCATATATTTATGTGCATATATTTTTTTTGTTTACCTTGTTGCAGTGAATTCTTGGTCTGAACTGTGGAAGGCAAAGATTTATTACCATCTTTGTAGCCGAGAGGAAAGCTTCCACGCATCAGAAGCAGCCTTAAATAAGAAATAAAACTAAGTATTAGAAAATTTTAAATTCAATTCTAAACTTTCAGAAGTTGATTCCTAAGAGAATCAAACAGGATAGCAACAAAAACTTTAACACATACACTGTCACAGTCTATACTCAATTTCCTTATATCCTATACATGACCTTGGGGGAAAAAATCAGTCACTAAAAAATTACAGAGAAGATTTCTATGGCAGGCTCAACAGGTTGGCAAAGACTGCCAGTTCTCTGGCCAACAGCTGTCCCAAAGACCCAATGGAGGCAAGGCTCATCAGTTGTGCTGGGGGTCCCCATAGAAAGGGAGTAGCAAAAGTAGCTGAGCTCAGAGAAAGGACAGAGTGCTCAGAATGGAAAGGGTTACAAAAAATAATTATAGTGGTGGTAAGCATCTTTGTCATTTAACACTTATCAATGCAATTATGTTTTCTTATTAAAATGAAAATAATGAGTCAAAAACATCATTATTGAGAAATAGAAAATTTATTACAGGCCAGGTGTGATGGCTCACACCTGTAATCCCAACACTTTGGGAGGCTAAGATGGTAGAATCGCTTGAGCCCAGAAGTTCCAGACCAGCCTGGGAAACATAGTCAGTCTTACTGTAGAGACCCCATCTCTACAACAAAAAGTTGTAGAGGGGTCTTGCTATGTTTGATTTGCACCTGTAGTCACAACTATTTGGGAGACTGAGGTGTGATAATCACTTGAGCTCAGGAGTTCAGGGTTGCAATGAGCTATGATCACACCACTGCATTCCAGCCTGGGTGACAGAGTGAGACCCTGTCTCAAAGGAAAAAAAGAAAAGAAGAAAAAAAGAAAGGAAGGACAGAAGGAAGGAAGGGAGTTGGGGAGGGGCAGAAAGAAAGAAAAGAAAGAGAGAGAAAGAGGAAGGAAGAGAGGGAGGAAAGAGAGAGGGAGGAAAAGAAATAAAATATTAGGGTTGGAAAGCACCTTAAAAGGACATCTAGGCTGGGCACAGTGGCTCACACCTGTAATCCCAGCACTTTGGGAGGCCAAGGCAGGTGGATCGCCTGAGGTCGGGAGCTCGAGACTAGCCTGGCCAACATGGTAAAACTCCTTCTCTACTAAAGACAAAAAGCAGGTGAATGTGGTGGCGGGTGCCTGTAATCCCAGCTACTTGGGAGGCTGAGGCAGGAGAATCGCTTGAACCCAGGAGGTGAAGGTTGCAGTGAGCTGAGATTACACCACTGCACTCTGGCTAGCCTGGGTGACAAGAACAAAACCCCATCTCACCAAAAAAAAAAAAAAAGGCATCTTATGCAAGTAGTCATTTTAATGGCCAATTCCAATGGCTTCTGGAAACTCTGTTGAGAAGCAGGGGAACCACTGGAAAACACCCCTCCCAGTGGCAGATTTCTCCAGTAGATCTCAACTCCTTGGTGAGGCCAGTCAGCCATTTATGCTTTTCCCCCTGACAGTCATGGCCACGAAAAATCACGTTAGCCCAACAGGGATAGGGCCACCCTCTGAGCCCCTTTTGTTGTCATAATCAGTAGGGCCCACTGGCAGGGGCCAGGCGTACTGGGCATCCTGCAACGTTTCAGTGGAGAGTTGCTGCACAGTGAAGATCTGTCATGGGACTTGCAAATGTCTATTATCTCAGCCCCTAACTCAGTTTTACATATAAACACAAAGTATTTTTAAACATGGTTTTCATATATGCTAAATTTCCTAGGATGAAAACTTTCATGTAGGCCATAGGAAGGTCATATTTTGTTTTGTTCAGACCTTTACTAAGAGATGCCCACCATTTCTGAAAATAACATCAATGAGAGCAAAGCTCTCCGCCTTGGTCAGTTTGCATTTGTAGCAGCGTACATTCCACATGCTCCTGCACGATGGTAAAAGCTTCTGAACATGTCTTTATGTCTTCTAGTATGGTCACACCCAAACATTTACACATGAGAACAAATTTTATTATCGTACCTAAAAATTTTTCCTTTACAGTACTGTTAGGGCAGTGTGTGTGTGTGTGTGTGTGTGTGTGTGTGTGTGTACCTATACACATTGTTTTTTACAAATAATGTACATAAGTAGGTTTCACTATTTGGCTTTAAGCTCATCATGATAGAAGAAACATGAATCTCATGGAGTGGAGAGCCCCTGGCCTAAAGCCTCCTATTCTTTGTGAGCCTGTGTTGAAACTCCTAGTGCTTTCCACTTTGAGGCACACACACCATTGCTTTGCCAGAGAATCTTAGAATTTGGCCTGGACTAAAGTTTCTACAATTCCTTTTCTCAAAGATTATATTAACAATGTCTCCAGGCTTCTGACACCTTTCTTGTTCTCCACAATAAGTAAAAATGAATGAAGTATCTGATGCATTGCATCTGCAAATATCCTCAGAACCCCTGTAGTTACCACTTTTTGGCCAGGATATCAGAACTCATTTAGAGCAGCATTCTCCCCAGCTTCCCTGCCCACCTAGTGAAGCAGCTTCCTCTTGGTTGTAAAAGTAAAATTAAGCTATTCACTTTAATTGAATATAGAACCATTAAAATAAATATATAGCTAAACCAAGGAAATAAAACATTCCTCCTGTGAAAAGCAAGCCTAGGATGCCAAAGGAAAGCACAATATGCTACTGACATAGATGATGACACTAGAAACAGGTATAGGCAGAACTGCACGGGCCCTAGGCAAATGGCTGAGGCTAGGGGACTCCAGGGTTGAGAGGGTTTTCTTTCCACTGCCCCAGGCAGTTCCCTCCTCCGCTCTTGGCCCTGACAGAGAGCCAAGAAAAAACAAAGCCAGGCAGAGTGGCTCTCACACCTATAATCTGAACACTTTGGGAGGCTAAGGTGAGAGGATCACTTGAGGCCAGGAGTTTGAAGTCAACCCAGGGAACACAGTAAGATACCATCTTTACAAAATAAAAATAAAAAAATGAATTCGGTGTGGTGACACACACCTCTAGTCCTAGCCACCTGGGAGGTGGAGGCAAGAGGATCACTTGAGGCCAGGAGTGCAAGGTTACATATAGTGAGCTATGACTGCGCTACTGTACTCCAGCCTAGGTGACAGAGTGAGACCCTGTCTCAAAAAATAAAATAGAGTCCTTCTAGACTTAAATGAGGCTATTATGCTCTATGATATAGAAATGTGGAACCTTGACTGTCCTTTCCAACAGGAATTACACCAGACCTGAAATTAAGGAAAATCTGGGTCTGCCCTTAGCTACTTCTTCCCACCTCTGCGTGAAAGTAAGTCAGCCTTCTGTTCAAGCATCTCAGCTCATGAGGCTTCTCCACCTGCCCCAGTCAACTACAAAACCATATGGACCTAATCCTGACCAGAAACAGACTACCTGCTCTCCACAGCACTCATTAAAATATAAGTTGAGTGAACATTTACAGAAGAGTATTCAGTCCAACACCATTACATTCTCCTTAGTGCTGCCCTAAGTGGATTCTCCTGCCTCTTGCCTGGCACTCCTTGTGGCTGCTGCAAATCTTATCCCACATCACTATCTGACAGATATCTTAGCAGTTTTGATCCTTACCAGTTGCAAAAAATAAATGTAACACATTGATAAAAATTCAGTGACCAACTTGTGAAGATTCATAGGACACCAGGGTAGCAGGACACATCAGGTGAGAACCATAATTTTAATCTCTAAAATATACCACTCCACTGAGCTGACCCTCAGACCAGTACACAGGCCTATCCTCGTGTTCATTCCAGGCACAACCATCACCGTCCTCATCAAACCCTGCAAATACTCTTCACCAAGCTGCTCACTGGCATTGTGTGGTCCTTTAGCAAGGAACTTCAATAAGAAACAGCTCTACAAAGTCAGTTACTGTTTTGTTTGGTGGACAAAATGATCACCATCTATTCTATATGGTATCCTTTCTTGGAGATCTGTAGAAAATTTTCAATTTGGTCTCAACACTAAAAGAGTTGTTTTTCCCAAGCAACTTAATATTTTGTGGTATGAACATGGATCATATTCCTTCTTGACTCAGGCTGCTGGAAAGCTCCGAATAAAATCTGTGGCCCAGCCCTGACATTTCTCCCTGCCTGAATTATTTATTGATATATAATAGAGTATAATATGAAAGCTAGCTTGAAATAATTTTGGAACAATGTGGGGTATAAATAGGCTGGGCAAAGGGGCTCACACCTGTGATCCTAGTACTCTGGGAGACCAGGGCAGGAGGATTGCTTGAGGCCAGAAGTTTGAGACCAGTCTGGGCAACAAAGTGAGATGCCATCTCTACAAAAAATTTTAAAAATATTAGCTGGGCATGGTGGCATGTGCCCATAGTCCCAGCTACACAGGAGTATGGCTAGAGCCCAGGAGTTTGAGGCTACTTTTGTGAGACATTTAGGTTGTTTACACCTATTTTTTTTCTTTTTAAAGACAGGGTCTCACTATGTTGTCCAGGATAGAGTCCAGTGGCTATTCACAGGTGCCATCACAGTTCACCGCAGCCTCAAATTCCTGAGCTCAAGCAATCCTCCTACCTGAGTGCCTCAAGTACCCAAGAACCTGGGACTACAGGTACAGGTCACCAAACCCAACTTGTTTGTAACTTTTTACTACTACTACCTTAAGATAAAATCTTGGCCAGGCGTGGTGGCTCACACCTGTAATCCCAGCACTTTGGGAGGTCGAGGCGGGTGGATCACCTGAGGTCAGGAATTCAAGACCAGCCTAGAAATCCCGCCTCTACTAAAAATACAAATTAGCTGGGCATGGTGGCGCGCACCTCTGATCCCAGCTACTTGGGAGGCTGAGGCAGGAGAATCGCTTGAACCCAGGAGGCAGAGGTTGTGGTGAGCTGAAATTGTGCCAATGCACTCCAGCCTGGGCAATAAGATCGAAACCCCGCCTCAAAAAAAAAAAAAAAAAAGAATAAAATCTTAAGTAGATTTTTTGTCACTTTTTTCCTTTGGTTTCAGTACAATTTTGACTTTTTAACTTAAGGAGTCCTACATGTTTCTACTTAAGGTTGCTATTTATGAAAGGTTCTTCTTACCCCCTCAATTTTTCTAGCTAGTCACTACTATATAGAAAAGCTTTTCACTTTGGTATCTTTATTGTATTTTCTTATTAACTCTTACTGATTTTAACACACTTTCAGTTTGTTTTCTTGTTTTATTTTTTTTTTACAACCCTATTATCTAGATAACAATGAGAATTCCCTCCTCAAAATGATAACTCTTATTTCTCATTTTACTGCATTAACTAGAACTTCTGGAATTACACGTAACAGTAAAAGAGTTGCCATCCTCGTTTATGCCCATTAGAAAATGCATCTTTGAACATAATGTTGATTGTTAGACTGAAATATCATCTTCATGTTAATAAAGCATTCTAATTTTCACAGTTTTGAAAGTCAGGCATATGCTCTGAATTCTGATTTTTTTCTATACGTTGTCTTTTATTATTTATGTTATCTGACAGACTAATGGGATACATTAACACATTTTTCTAATTTTAAACCCCCCTTTTTATTCCCAGGAGAGATTCTATTTGGTTGTGGCAGATTGTTCTTTAAATGTACTGTACTACTGAATTTGTTTTGCTCATATTTAATTTTAGATGGGATATTATTACACATTGGTGGAACATTTGCAAGCCCTGTGCTAGGCACTGGAGTATAGAGATAAAAATGAAATGGCAGTGAAACTATTCTGTATTATACTGTAACGGTAGATACATAACATTATACATTTGTCAAAACCTATATACAACACAGGCTGGGCATGGTGGCTCACATCCATAATCCCAGCACTTTGGGAGGCTGAAGTGGGCAAAGCACTTGAAGTCAGGAGTTCAAGGTGAGCCTGGTCAACCTGATGAAACCCCATCTCTATTAAAAACCCAAAATTAGCCTGGCGAGATAATGGGCACCTGCAATTCCAGCAGCTGGAGAGGCTGAGGCAGGAGAATTGCTTGAACCTGGGAGGCAGAGGTTGCAGTGAGCCAAGATCAAGCCACTGCACTCCAGCATGGGCAACAGAGTGAGACATTGTCTCAAAAAAAAAACCGCCAAGCATGGTGGCTGACATCTGCAATCCCAGCACTTTGGAGCACTTAGGGAGGCCAAGGCATGAGGATCACTTGAGGTCAGGAGTTCAAGACCAGCTTGGCCAACGTGGTAAAACCCTGTCTCTACTAAAAATACAAAAATTAGCCAGGCATGGTGGTGCATGTCTGTAATGCCACCTACTCGGGAGTCTGAGGCAGGACAGTCACTTGGGCCCAGGAGGCAGGGGCTGCAGTGAGCCGGGATTGTGCCACTACACTCCAGCCTGGGCAACAGAGCGAGATCTTGTCTCAAAACAAAACAAACACAAAGAATTATATAGCACAAAGAATGAACCTTAAACTATAAACTTAATAATTTATCAATATTGGCTCATCAATTTTACACTTGATCTTAGCCAAAAGGCCGAGAAGCGATTGACTCATCAATTTTAAGAAATGTACCACAGTAATGTAAGATGTTAATAGCATGAATAATGTTCAATTTGTATGTAAATCTAAAAATGTTCTAAATTATAAGGTGTATTCATAATAACAATAACAAAGGAATGGCTGGGTGAGGCTGGGCACGGTTGCCCATGCCTGTAATCACAGCACTTTGGGAGACTGAGGTAGGCAGATCACTTGAGGTCAAGAGTTCGAGACCAACCTAGCTAACATGGTGAAACCCCATCTCTATTAAAAATATGAAAAATTAGCCAGGTGTGGTGGCAGGTGCCTGTAATCCCAGCTACTCAGAAGGCTGAGGCTGAAGAATGGCTGAACTGTGGCAGCAGAGGTTGCAGTGAGCCAAGATGGTATCTCTGCACTCCAGCCTGGGTGACAGAGCAAGCTCTGTCTCAAAAAAAAAAAAAAAAAAAAAATTAAAATAATAATAATAAAGAATGATTGGGGTAAAAAGTGATTGAAAACAACTCAGGACTGGAGATCAAACTGAAACATGCATATTGATACAAATGAGCATGTCACAGGAGAATGGCAGATATTTTTAAAGAATATCTTACAAATGATAGCTGTTTCTGTGGGAAATAGTGATGTCCAATAAGACTCTGGTTGCTATCAAAGTCTTTTTTTTTTTAGATTGAGTCTTGCTTTGTCACCCAGGCTAGAGTGCAGTGTCGCAATCTTGGCTCACTGCAACCTCCACTTCCCGGGTTCACGCAATTCTTCTGCTTCAGCCTCCCGAGTAGCTGAGACTATAGGTATGCACCACCACATCCGGCTAATTTTTAGTAGAGATGGGGTTTCACCACATTGGCCAGGCTGGTCTCAAACTCCTGACTTCATGATCCGCCAGCCTCAGGCTCCTAAAGTGCTGGGATTGCAGGCATGACCCTCCAAGCCCAGCCACTATCAAAGTCTTTAACAGGTATCATCTCAACATCTATCTTGTTTCAATAATCTGGACTTCTAAGGTCAGATGCCTCTTCCCTTAACACTTAATCCAGAAAAGAAATAATGGCTCAACATATGAAAATGCAAACAGCATAGCCCAGACAGACTCTTTCCCCAGTCCTGCTGAGGAAATGGCTGTATAACTTGAACTCACTGCAAACACTGTCCAGTAAATACTTACAAAGCATAGCCACTTTCTCCAGATGTGGCATCTAAGTACAAGAAAGAGAAGGCATGAGCATAAATTAATCCGAAACCTCAGATCATGGCTGATGTGCCCTGCTTTCAGAGAAGTAGCTTGGAGACAGATAATAATGGCATTATGGCCGGGCGCGGTGGCTCAAGCCTGTAATCCCAGCACTTTGGGAGGCCGAGGCGGGTGGATCACGAGGTCAAGAGATCGAGACCAACCTGGTCA